CAATTTTAATATTTTTAATAATTATATTGTATTTTTTTTTTGGCGACGGCACCACACCGTCGGAAAAAATATTAAAATCATTGGCGACAGTGGTCATGCCGTTGCAAAAAAAACAAAAAGGTCTCAAATAAAATTTTTAGCGACGGTAAAATAATGCTGTCGCAAAAGGTCTCAATTTTTTACATATTATAGGCAACAAGAAAATGTCGTCGCAAAAGGCAACAAATGCCGTGGCAAAAAAAAGGTGTCGTTGCTAATACTTGTTTGCAACGCCCTCTGTTATGACCCCTCATTTGCTGCCGCTAAAAGTCATTTGCCACTGCTAAAAGTTTTTTGAGACGGCATTAGGAGTATTAGCGACGGCATTTTATCGTCGCAAAACCTAAAATTTTTGTAGTTTTCATTAGCGAGGAGAATGAAAGTGAAAATCAAATGCATTTGCTCCCAAACTATAATTTCACATTCTGTCAATTCTGTTACCCAAAAAGGCAACCTAAGAGGGGAGGTGGATTAGATTTCTACAAATTAAAATTAATAATACCTCAATAAAATTAACTATTAGTACAACAAATTATTAACAAGCACAATGATGAACTTAACAGTAAATGATCAAGTAAAATAACAATGAAGTATAACTAATATACAGGGTAAATTAAATGATTAACACATGAATATTAGATAGCTATAGCAGCAGTAAGAAAGTAAAGAGATTAGGGAAGAAGAGACAAACAGATTTATAGTGGTTCGACTTCAACCAAGCCTACATTCACTCCTCAAGCTTCACTTGAGATTTTTCACTATCTTCTAGCTTCACAGGGGTACTAGCAACCTCTTTACAAATAGAGCAATTCTCCACGGATTTTACATAGACTTCATAAGCCCAAACCTTTACAAATCTTAGGTGATTCATAATCACTCTCAAGATTTCAAGAACACAGTATTTGTAACACTTTTACAAGATGAAATAGTATTTTTGCTTTCAAAGAAAGCTTACAATAAATATCTCTCAAAGATAGATATATAAAATGAAACTTTTATTTTTCTGTAAATCTCACATAGGAAAGATGGGCTTAAAGCCATAAGGCTCAGTGTATAATTTCTAAGAATAGATGTGAGTGATTATAGATCAAAGAATATTTTCAGGTTAACTTGTTTACATTAGAGGCTTTGATATATAATGTAAATTATAACCGTTTATAGCCGTTGTATTCATTTGAATTTATAGCATTTTCTAGCCGTTGTAGTCATTTGAATTTATAGCCGTTTATAGCCGTTGTACTTTCATCATTACCAATTTGAATATCTTCCACTTCATCATTATAAATTTGAATATCTTTCACTTGAACCTTTTGAACATTTTGGCCTTTTGAACCTTTATAGCTGTTTATAGCCGTTGCACTTCCATCATTACTAATTTGAATATCTTCCACTTGAACTTTTTGGCCTTCTGCTGTGCTAGGCTGTTTGAACCTTTGTTTTGAGTTGTTTGAACTCCTGATTTAATCAAATATTAAATATATTCTAACAATATTTCGGATAAAGGTTTAGGTGAGAAAGAATGAGACAAAATAAATTTTGATTTTATTTTCCTCTTTTAAATAAATTATCAAAATAAATTTTAATTCTATTTTTCTCTTTCAAATAAATCATCAAAATAAATTTTGATTAAAATATAATTAAATAAGTCATCAAAATAAATTTTAGATTCTATTTTTCTCTTTCAAATAAATTAAAATATGATTAAATAAATTATCAAAATAAATAAGTCTAACAAATTTCTTTGCCCGTTGTGTTTGATCTTCCATTTTCATTTTCAAATTTTTTTTTTGATATTGATTTCACTTTTGAGTTTTGAATGTATGACCTCTTCACGACGAAGCAATCATCTAAATCCCATCGAGATTTAGTGCCGAAGAAAACTCAAACATTTAATTATTTAAGACTTACGTAATGATAAGATCTTTATCTTCTTTGAGCCATGCTTCGAACTCCAGGGGGTCGCACTCCCAGTGACATGGCAGTATAGGATTGATGAAAAATATATATAAAAAAAAAAGGACAATTTTTATTTTTTGGACCAATCACACGCGACCCCAGTACTCCACTGGGGTCCGAAGCTTTTTCCATCTTCTTTATTATTATTCTATGTAAAATTTTAACTTATTATTTAATTATAATTTGATCATGTCTAGCATGTTGTATTCACAATTTTATCACATATATTTACACTGAGAATCATGTAATTCTACACTATCTTTTAATCATATAATTAGGTATTAATTTTTAACTCTCATAGCTTTGTCTCGAAACTGATTATTTTTGTTGATTTTTTATTTTTTTTAAAAAAAACTTGTTAAAAAAAAATTAATGTGATAACTTATATGTCAAACAAGGAATGATAAACCCAAGTGGAGTCAAACTGGCATGATATGAAGAGGAAAGCAATTAATATTTTTGAGCATTGCAAGCCAGGCCATATCTTCATGAGAACTCCCAAGGCACACAAGCCAGAGCTCAATACCTTCGTCCTTAAGCCTTGAGGTTTTAAAAAAAGAAGCATCACCAAATCTCCCTCCCTCTCTCTCTCTCTCTCTCTCTCTCATCACCCCACAAAGACTACCTTTATTAATACTCTTATTTTTTTATGATCGAGTGTCCAACACGTTTTCAAAAAATTTATAATATCTAATGTGAATTGAACTTGAGATCTGAAAAGAATATATCCGTAGTCCCTAAGCTACACCTACTGTGTTTTGAGACTACCTTTATTATTGACAACCCTTTCGCATAAAATTTCATTTTATGTTCTCTGACAAGGAGATTAGTTCCGTAACGAACATCGGAATGTTGTGATTAGTCTCATTGAATTGATTTGTAATAAAACAATAAAGCTCTGTGAACTTAGAATTCCAGTTCCAGACAGAAAATGTGTGATTAAAATTTAAATTGTGTGTTGTCGGTCTTTGTCTAAAATAAATTTAAACCATTCATTGATAAATTCAAACAAATTTATATGCAAAAGTTCTGCATTTGTAGCATAACTATTCATAAAATACTATGAAGTATGGGTATTTCGAAAAATATGCCGTACTCGTACCGGGTATTTACCGGCGTACCGTACCTCGTATGGTACTTCTGCATACGTATCGGGTACACGAAACACGTACCCAAGTTTTTTCTTCTTAATTTTTGACGTATCCAGACGTACCTAGTATATATCCAAGCCGTACCGTACCTCAGTTGAAACAATATTTTCCTTCTACTACAAAGATAAAACTCATTTCACCAGATTTCTTTTTTAGTTTTTGTTTTATGCTTAGCATGATTTTAAAATTAAACTATGGTTTGTAAGTTATTTAATATATTGACATTTAATTTTGATTTATACTTTTCCTTTTGGTATTAAATGTTAATTATAAGTTGGACCTTAACAAATTAAACCATTGAATTAATCTTTGCATTACTCTAAATTAAAAATAAATATTTTTTTACAAACATACCAAGCCGTACCCGTACCTTATTTTTTTTGAATTTTACCGTATCGACGTACCCGTATCGTACCAGTACCAGTACTCGTACCCGTACCTATGCTTCATAGATAAAATATATACTGCACCTTTATTTTTTTTAATAATTTAATCATAATATTCATAATTTTAATTTCAGAAATTGAATAATAGAATTGTCTATTTATAATTTTTTATTATAAAGTGATACCACTAACACAATAAAATAATATTAAATTTCTTACAGTATACAACTCTAACGCATTTTCACCATAAATTTTTTATATTTAAAATTTAAGAATTATTTACACGAAACCTCTTGAACTATTAAAATGTATTATTCTAACCCTAAGTTATAAAGCACAAATAAATCCCTTAAATTATTAGAAAATATTATTTTATCTCTTAAATTATAAAAACATACAAATGACTCTTCAAATTATAAAAACATACAAATTAAACCCCTAAAGTAGGGGTCAAGACTAAACATGCCAATAATTTAAGGATTTATTTTTATATTTTTATAATTTAAGGAATTAAAATAATACTTTTCAGGAAATTTCCGTGTAAATAATCCAAAAGTTTAATTCCCCAAATTTAATCACTAGTTTCCAATTATCTTTCCTGTTAGATTTTTCCAACCTCAATGACTCACAAAAAGGAGCAAGGATCCTCTAGAGTGATTTTTCCCTAAAGTTTCCTAAAGTGCTACATTGTGTGGTTGAGATTTATTGGCAAGTCACATCAATTTTTCTGATGTGACTTATCAGTAAATCTCAACCACACAATATAGCACTCTAGGAAACTTTAGGAAAATTTCACTCTAGAGGATCCTTGGTGCACAAAAAGCGGAATGGAAGAGTGGAAAACCACTGTGACCCTTTGCAATATCTATCTATATTATTAAGCGAAAATTTTAATTGATTTACATTATGTGATAGTATATTTAATTTAAAAAAAAAATTACATGTAGAGGTGCATAAGTCTTATGACAAAGGATTTAAGATATTAAGATTCATACCACTTAAACTACGTACACATTATAATATTAAGGTCTCGTTTAGGAATATATTTTTTTAGTAAGTTTTTTATTTTTTGACTAAAATATGATGTAAAAAAATTAAAATATTTGTGATGACTTTTTAATTTTTTACGAAAAGATGTGTAAAAAAAAAAAAAGAAGAATCTTTAAATTTTTGATATATGTTGTGACTTTTTAATTTTTTTAATGACTTTTTGATTATTTCTCTAAAATTACTATTTGCCAAATGAATCCTAACTATATTATTATTTTATTTTATTCTTACTTATTTAAATTAAACCAGTATCACATGTGTCATTTACTAATACTATTATTAAATAGAGGACTCATACTATTTAGCGTAGGTATACATTGTAATATTAATTTCATATTATTATTATTATTATTATTTATTAAATTAGAGATGCAGCACCCAGTGTATATATAAATGCACTCTTCAGTTGCGAAAAGGCTTCTCTCAGTTTCTTTACAGAGTTCATTTCGGTCTTCGTTCTGGTAATCTCTTTTTATCAGATCCACAATGCTATCCGGTCTAATACCAGGTCTCAACTCCGTGAATTGGCCGGAAGACGAAGTTTCCGATCAGTTTCAGGCGAGTTTGATAAACCTTCTCGATCTACCCAATCAATTTCTGTCATCCTTCGTGGAAGCCTACCCTGCAGGGACTAATGTCAGTCTCTTCACTCACTCCCAGCGACAACATTGGTCCGAATTAGGCCTAGTCCTGGAGTGGCGCACACTTGCGCTCTGTGTGTACGTTGGCATACTAGTCCCCATGGCTCTACTCGCTTGGTTACATTACGAGGAGGGAAAGTACGGCGGCGATTCTGTTGCACCGCTCGCCGAGGAATCGCCGGAAACTAACGCTGAGGCGGTGATTTCGGACTCCATGCATCTCTTAAGTGATGGTAAGTTGGTGACTATTTCTTCTTCCGTCCTTATGTTATGCCGTTTTACAATTTATCATAGTTTGTGTTTTCCGAGAAAAAGTTTCCTGGAAAAAATGTTATGGCATGAATAATGTTTCCCGAAAATCAAACACCGAATATGAACGTAAAGGATTGTACAAAATTTGTTGATGAACTTACTTTTAAAATTTTTTGTTCATTTATATGTGTTATATGTGATCAAATCCTATATTTCTAGATTCATTATAGTCATAAAAAAAATGAATAGAATTTCAGGATATTATGCATTATAGGAACCGAACTCTTTCTTTGTTGATAAATTTTGTGCATGATAATGCTATAATAATTATATCTATTTATACCGTCTTTTTCTATCGCATGATATGTCATTTCTAGTTAAAAATGAGAAGTCTGAATAATACATAGATTGTGATTGATTCAAAATAATAGACGTCATATTCAAAAAGTGTATTGATCTCACTCAAAATTATAAACTCTAATATTTTAAATCAATAGAAATTTATATTATGTTCACACACTTTCAAATTGTGTAAACAAAATTGGACTCGGGGGCCTTCCCAACTTTCATCAATACACGTTCCCAATGAAGATCTTCGCACCTTCAATTAATTCAGAACTTCACACCCAACCCTCTCTACAAAAACTTTTAGTTCTACATATTTTCCAACTCTTTGCAAGTTCACATTAGCAGCAAAAGCAATCATGAAAAAAAAGACTTTCTTTGGGATGAAGGGTACGAAGGCACCTGTAGCTCCTCCTTGTTGTGACTAAGGAAACCACTTTAAACACGTCATGAAAACAGAATCTTCTTTTCTTTTTATTGTTTATTTCTTTTTTTACTTGTGCTTTGAATTCACTTTATTCCTGAAAGCTGCGAAAGTTTTTTAGACTGTATTTTTGGTCATTTCAGTAAACAACTAAGCAAATGAATCTTCTGTTTTGTTTTCTATTTTTGATAACTGTTATAGACCAAAGATTTATTTCCTTTTTCCTTCCTAAATGTTTCTTCCGGGCAACCTGTCTAGCTGTATTTTCATTTTCAGCTCTTTTCAAGGCAACTGGAGCTGGTGAGAGTGTCCCCGAATCAGATGTGAATCATGCAGACGACTTGCAAGTCCAAGAACCAATGTCGAATGGCGAGCCATCATCATCATCATCCTCATCCCAAAGCTGCTTCTGCAGAATCTGCTTAGAAAACAAACAAACTATCCAGATGTACAGAAATCAAATCTGTTCTCACTCCTTCTGTCACGACTGCACGAGCAAACACATCGCAGCAAAGATCCAAGAAAACATAAAAACAGTTTTATGCCCCGGGGAAGATTGCACGGCAGCATTAGATTTCGATGCCTGCAGGCAGATCATCCCGAAAGAGGTCATTGTCCAGTGGGACGAGTTCCTATGCAAGTCAATGATTACCAAGTCCCAGATAATTTATTGTCCTTTCAGGGACTGTTCAGCCATGTTGGTTAATGATTCCGGGGAGATCATAGAAGAGACCAACTGTCCTGCCTGCAAGAGATCAATCTGTGCACGGTGTCATGTTCCATGGCATGTAGAATTTACGTGCAAGGAGTTTATGAGGCTGGGTGGGAAGAAGAGAGGGAAAGAAAATATGTTGGTGGAGGAACTTGCTAAGAAGAAGAGCTGGAGGAAGTGCCCAGAGTGTGAAATTTATGTGGAGAAGACAGAGGGTTGTTCACATATTACTTGTAGGTGTGGACATGAGTTTTGTTATAGGTGTGGATTGAAGTGGGTTAAATTTCATAGTGGTTGCAACCTAGCACAGGGACAGGGATTCAATTCCCAGCTGCCCCCCCATCCCCACTCTATGAACTGGGACCTTTTTTTATAAATCCTTAGACTAATTTTAATGATGATGTTCTAATGATGATTGATGGATCAGTACCATATACTAGAGATGCATGTAGGCTCTCTTTGGATTGTTGGTATGTGTTCAGAATTCGTGCAGAGAAAAATACTAAGAAAATAAAGTATAATTTAAATTTAATTCGGATACAGTATAACTCGTATTTAAAATGAATCTAAACCACATAATATTTTTTCATGATATATTTTTGTGCATGAATTTTGTGTGTGTAACATTGTTTTTTTTTTGGGGGGGAGGGGGCCACAAATTCAAACCCAAGTTTGACTGCAGAGGAACATACAAAATACACTTCTAAAATTGAATTCATTTCCATCTCTGATTGTATTCGTTAACAACCATCTAAAAATATCCTTACAAATAAGGGACCTTTGGCTCTCTCTTTATATATCTCTGTCTTTCCCTTCCATGGCTTTTCATTGTAGTTTCTTTCTCCTTTCGCTATTACTTTCTTTACTTACCTCTTCCCATTCCACCGTAACTAACCAGTCTCAGTTCTTCACTCTCATGAAAAACTCTCTCAAAGGGAACCCTTTGTCGGATTGGGATGTTTCCGAACCAAAACCCCTTTGCAGCTATGCCAGAATCAGATGCAATGAACAAGGCTATGCCATGAAGATCGATATCTCTGAGTCATCGCTCTCTGGCCGCTTCCCTGAACACGTCTGCTCTTACCTCCCGGAGCTACGTGTGTCTTCGCCTCGGCTACAACAACATCCATGGAAATTTTCCTCAAAGCATCAGTAATTGTTCTCTCCTGCGAGAACTAAACGTGAGCTCTGCCTACCTCACTGGAACACCTCCGGACTTTTCGTCCATGGTGGCTCTCCGGTCACTCGACCTCTCCTACAATCTCTTCTCCGTCGATTTCCCTGTTTCCGTAACCAACCTTACCATTCTCAAAGCTCTGAACTTCAATGAAAATGAAGGTTTCAAGGTATGGCAATTGCCTGAGAATATTTCCAGGCTAACAAAGCTCAAATCTATGGTCCTGATGGCGTGCATGGTTCGCGGTTTGATCCCAGCGTCGATCGGAAAATGACATTCGCTCATTGATCTTGAATTGAGCAGGAATTATCTTGTGGGTCAGATTCGGGCAGAGCTTGGGTTGCTGAAGAACTTGCAACAACTTGAGCTTTACTACAAAGGACTTAGTGGTGTAATACCTGAGGAACTTGGAAATCTCTCAGAGCTGGTAGATTGGGACACGTCTGTGAACAAGTTACCCGGAAAAATCCCGGAATCCATTCGCCGCCTCCCGAATCTCAAAGTCTTGCAGCTTTACAACAACAGCCTCACCGGAGAAATCCCTGAAGCAATGGCAAACTCGACCACCCTGACGATATTATCAGTTTATGACAACATGTTGACCGGAGAAGTTCCCATAGGTTTAGGGTGATCATCACCCATGATTGTCTTGGAGTTGTTGGAAAATGAATTTTCTGGAGAGTCACCAGCCGAGGCCTGCAATGGAAGTAAATTTCTGTACTTTCAAGTCCTGAAAAATATGTTTTCCAGAAGGCCTTCTTGCTCTTCCCCATGTTTAAATTCTTGATTTGGGTTACAATCAGTTGAATGGTTCGATTGCGAATACAATTGGAAATACTAAAAGCTTGTCAACACTGTCCATATAGAGCAATAACATTTCGGGTGTTCTACCTTCAGAAATCTGTCAAGCTGCCAATCTGGTGAAGATTGATCTCAGCAACAATCTCCTGTCTGGTCCAATATCTTCCGAAATTGGAAACCTAGGAATTCTCTTTTTTTTGAATTTCGGAGGTGACAAGTTGAATTCTTCAATCCCCGATTCGCTTTTTTCACTAACATCTCTCAATGTTAATGTTCTTGATCTATCCAACGATCCCTTCATGGGGAAACATTCTATAGTCTTGCTTGTTGTTATGTCTCCTACTCTCTATGTCTACCCACTCTTCAACGTTTAAATTTTCATCTCTCTCCAAACACAATATTATATTATAATTTATTCACTAGATATGTGATTTTGCTATAGAGGTTAGAGCAATTTTCATCTTTTGAAACCATTTTCAATGTTATTGTGTTGGTTTAAGTTTTTTAGATTAAGTTTTTTTAAAATTAATTTTTTTGGTTTTCGTATTTTTTTTATTTTTAGTGAATATTTTTTAAATTTTAAATAATATTTTTACTTTTTTAGATGTATCTAAAAAGTAAAAATTTGTGAAATAATATTTTAAAAAATGAATAAATACATAAAAATATAAAAAATGTACTGAATTCTTGTATTTTTTTTTAATATTTTTGGTATTTAGTGAATTTTTAAAAGATTTTTTTTACAATTTTTTTATTTTTTGGTATATTTATGTTAGGTGTGTCTAAAAAGTAAAAAAAAATATTTAAAATATTAAAAAAATCCAGTAAAAATAAAAAAATATGAAAAATAAAAAAATAAATTTTTTTGAAAAGTATTTTTTAAAAAATAAAATCAAGCAAGGTGATTGATATTATTTGCATTGAGTAAATTTTTTTTTTCCCTTCAAATGACCCTACAAGATAAAGTCCTAAAGCCGCCACTATATTCAATCCCTCTCAGCCCCTACCGCCTCAGGCCTATAATTTTTTTTGAACGTAAATATTTTGTTCTTTTTTTAATACTCGGCCTAATATTTTCGCAATGACGATGTTCTAATTGTTCTTTAAAAAATGACTGAGAGATGAATAATCCTAAGTGTCATTTTGAAAATATGGTAAAAAGTCACGTTTTTAGATAAAATGTCTAAAAACGTGATTGTCAAAAATGCTAGAAAAGTCATTTGGCAAGTGTTAAAAACGTAGCCGTAAAATTATAAATTAGGGCCTATGAAAAAAAAAAATAAATAAATCTCTTATGTTGGGTAAGGGTATTTTGGTCATTTTAATTTAATTTGATACCATAAATAAATATTACATTAAAAAGCAAAAAGTCAACTTTTTACCAACTTCTCAAATCACTTTCAAAAAAGTCAAAAAACTTGGTAAAAAGTCAAAAGTCAGCTTTTTACCAACTTCCCAAAACAACCCTATATACTAGTTTGATTTCAGTTTTTTAAATTTAATTTTTTAAAAATTTAATTTTTTATTGTTCGTATTTTTTTTAATGAATATTTTTAAAATATTAAGTATTTTTTTTTTACTTTTTTAAATACACCTTACTTAGATATATCTAAATAGTAAAATATTTGTGAAAAAATATTTTTAAAATTAAATAAATACAAAAAAATAAGAAAAATGAACGGAATTTTCATTTTTTAATATTTTTGGTATTTACTGATTTTTTTTTAAAAAAAAAAAACAGTTCACAAATATTATATTTTTTAAGTATATTTATGTTAGGTGTGTCTAAATTTTTTTTAAAAAAAACTTAAAATATTGAAAAAATTTATTAAAAACAAAAAAATATAAAAAATAAAAAACTAAATTTTTTTGAAAAGTGTTTCTAAAAACCAAAACCAAAACCAAACAAGTTTATGTGCTTAGAGATGCATGTAGCTCATCTTGTCTCAAGAAAGAAATGAGAAATTTCAATTTTGTTTGGATCTTTTATCTGTGAAAAAATTGTAAAGTGAAAAGATAAGAACCTCAAAAATAGAAATGAAACTAAAACTAATTTTTTTTTTTAAAGATACAAATATATAAATATATAAGTTGTATTGTAGCCATTGGAAGGAGACAGCCAAACAGAAGCCTTTCATTGACGTGGTGGAGACGAGTCTAATTTCATGATAAAAAGGCTTCCTCCAATTTCAAGTTAAAAATTGTTAAATTGTCGAAAAAGTAAAAAATAACAATAATAATGAAATAAAGGCATGCTTATCATCATGAGAAATCTACCGTGGAGAAATGGTTTGGAAATACTCTTGAATCCTGTAGCACGTTTGTAGACGTCCCCGAACGTCCTGGGAGGATGAGTCCCCCCCGGTTCTGTTCGTTTTGTGGGTCACTACAGTTCAGGACTCTCAAATTGTCACGGTTCTTAATCTGAATCAAAGAGTCCAAATCCGGCAAATCGTTTTGAGAAAAACAGATTTTTAGAAAAGAAGTGCCAAACATGGACTGCTTTGCCAGATACAGAGTAGCCACTCGCCCCATCTGACCCCTGAGAACATATTTTCTTCTCATGGTGTGAGGACATTGGAGGAAGATAGCCCAAAGGTCAAGACTCTTCTCGGTGCTGCTCCGTCCCCAATGCCAAGAATACGCGCACACGTCTTGTGTCTCTCCCGTATCATTTGTTCTACCCAAGATAGGCCACTCTCATGCAGCTCAGGTAGCTGTCGACGCTCACCCCCATTCGGACACGCGTCCACTTCGGTATACCCCGGAAGCTAAACAACTCCACTCCTGTCGATTATCGGCGACCGGAAAGACCGAATTCCGAAGAATCGGTCAGAGAAACGAAGGCCCCTCGTCTTCACTAGAGAGCTATCTGATAACTCCATGTTTCTCCAGCGAAGAAGACCACATATGCTCCTACTATTGCTGTTCTCTGGCCACAGGTCATCCTATAGCCTCGCTCCGAGTTACTATCTGTGCAGCTCCCTGAGGACCACTATTTTTAGAGTCCTGAGTCGCCCACGACTACCCCAGCATTGCAAACTAGCATACGGAATCTCACCCGGTAACGGTACTTCCTGGCACTCCGCAAGGGACTATCGTCCCGAATACGCATAATACTCTTCCTCAGATACAAATTCCACTTGTTATTATTTTTATAGAGAAAAGTGGTTTGATGTTGGTGCAGAACACGAACGTTACACAATTCACAAATGTGGCGGAGAAGTAGGGATTATAACACAATCGACGGTCGGCATATTGCCAACCGGTATGACCGGAGTGGGCTTAGAACAGGAAAAAGACATAAATTTTTGTCACACTATAGGCTTGTACAAACTCACAGTACCAATGCATTTGAGTTCGCGAATTTCAAAATAGATCCAACTCACCCACAGCGAATTCACGTATATCACCATAAGATGCAAGCCTTCATGTAAGCAATGCTAGTCCGATGGCAGCACTCACTACAGGCAGACAAGGATGCTAAAGCTAAACACTACGGGAGTAGTCCAATGCCAAAACAAAAGCTATGTTAGAAATCCATGCATGATCCT